TGATCAAGGATTTTGTTTAGCTAAGTTAACACCTTGGATAACATTGATAGGGTGAATTAAATAAATATGGTATGATGCATGTATGCATCAATAAATTTGATGTGTATGAGATCAATTACAGGAGCAAAGGTTTTGCCAAGGACGATGACCTAGTCGATCAACTTCAAACATACAKGGAAACATGAGCAATACATATGGTTGGTATGACGGCTTTTAGAAAAAAAAAGGGAACTTTGTGTTAGTTCTAAGTATGAAAGTAATTRGTGAAACACAATTTATTGGTCACGGAAGTGGGATTTAGTTGGGTTAAACAAAAAACAAACACAATAGCGGATTTGAGAATCCAAAGATGAGATTACATATTTGAGGCTTATGGTTTTCAGCAAACTAATATAAGTTTCGATAGATATTTCTTAAAATCTACGATAATGGGAGGTTTAACCAGGAGTCAAATAAGTTTGAATTGGTTAAGGTCAAAAAGACATTTTAGATGCTAAGGGGGAAGTTAAGCCTCGCACTGAGGATGACATTACTAGAAGAAACACAAGTATGGTATATAGTGTTGCATGTAAGTTGGGTCAAGATACATTGATGCAAATAAGCAATGTTAATGCTTACGCATCATCCCAACTAAAATAGAAGGGGAGGAAGTGTCATGTKCTCTAACATAAAGATAGAGGTAGTAGTATTTAAATTCAAGGGTTTGAAGGAGGACCATGGGTGTTCAAGCACTAAGAAAAGTAATAGTAAGCTATACAGAGAGTTTTAAGACATGCTTTCCATGAGAGATGGAAAGTTATAAACTATCGATTAGGCTTTAACAGATAGAAACTCTAATAATGGAGTGGGATATGATGGAGTGGGTATTGTTTTAAAAGAAAAGTGTGCCTAGAACGGTACATAAAGTTACCTCATTTCCAACCGATTAATAGGAAGTGTACATTGGAAGGTTGACAAAATTTGGGTGGATGGGAAAGTAATGATGTATAAAGTACCATAATTAACAATCTCGGGTAGCGATCCAAGATTTACATCACGTGCTCATGCAAG